AAGCTGGTCAAGGGGAAAACTAAGAACACCATCCAACCGCCATTAGAGGCGGAACAGTACTTGAAGGGAAATGTGTAAGAAGAGTGATCGTCCGTTGAAAGGGTAGCAACGTGCCAGGCCGTATCGGTTGTGAAACACATTTGACGTGCATGCACAAGAAACCGACTCTTCTCACCCATCCAACACCGTGCGGCACTTAGCCATGGGTCAGGGCTGTTCTTTCAAACCATGGACAACAATGTTGAAACGGCCTGAGGATAACCTAACGATCGAGTTTCACGGACGACATCGGAGTATCGTTCGTACCCGTATGCACCCGGGCTGACGAACAGAGGATGACTCTCTTGCAGCTTCCCTTTCTATCTAACGACGTTTTTCTTCGATGCAATGCACCGGTGTTTGACTGTTAACAAGCACCAGATGATCGTTGTCACCGGAATGACGATGGCTCGCCAGATTGACGGCCGATTCTCAACCTCCTCAATACTTTAACACTTCGGGCCAAGTATTCTTTAGTGTGTAGAAATACATAAACGTTTGAGGCCTGCTTCTCTCTTCCAGCTCAGAACATGGAGCGCGTACCTATCGGCGACGCCAATGGCGGAGAAGGGGACGATGATAGCGTCGGAGGCGACGGCAAGACGAACGAACTCAGCCTTCTCCGGCCAGAACAGCTTGTAGTCCTCACCCCTGTGCCGTATCGATTAGTCGTTCAGCGCAAAAACGGTTCATGTCTACATTCGTTCAGCTCAAAAACGGTTCATGTCTATCCCATGTTGCAGGATAAGCTTTAACAGGAAGATGATGTTCGTAGGTTGCACGAAGAGACGCGGTCCGCAGGCCAAACAGTAACGCCAAGACAGCTGAGAAACGTGATGATGTTTGTTGGATGAGAACGTGCATTTCTCCGTATCGTTTCATTCGTGCGGGTTAGAAACTACCACACGATGCGTGTTTTGTTCGCGATGCGACGAGCATGTTGGCAATCAGGTCGTGACAACCAACCAAAGCAATGCACCGAACAGGAATCGCAACCCTGGTTCCAGGCAGTCCGTCTCGTCCCGGAGGATACACGGAAACGGTATCCCGATGAGCATGTCGAACATTCGATATTAACCCCCGATCAAAAGACGACCGGTGATTCATTGTTTCGACACGTCGAACGACCACCCGGGAGGGGCTACAACAACTCCATCTGTCCCCTCATGCAAAACAGCTTGCGACACATGCAACGCAAACGTTAGCCCTCACTTTCTGTGGTATGCCTCGCTAACTCCACCGGGGAAGAGCAGCACGTTGTCCCCTCTCTTCAGCAGGCGGTACATGTTTCGCGGGGATACCGGCACCGCCCCAAACTGAAAAAGAATACGAGACGAGGCATGTTCCGCGCAGAACTTAATGCACGTTTCAACAACGAAAGGTGGCGTGCCCAAGTCTACGTGGCATGTTCGGAGCTGTGCCACAGACATCGCTTCACAACCCAACGTGTCGAAAAGGAGAAGCACCGATGGAACGTATCTCATGAAGAGATACTCATGTCATCAGTAGACAGCGCTCGCACTAAAAGGCAGCCTCCTTGGGGCCGGATAGCGAATCGAGAAACGCATTTTGCAGGAAACAGCACTTGTGACACACACAGAGAGAGATACAGAGGTAGAGAGAGAGAGAGCTCTTGGGAAAGCACACACTCCAAGCATGGCATCATTACCAGGGCAACCAAGTGTACAGTACGTTCTCAAGGTACGCCCGTGATGATTGGACAGAGGCTTGGCCACGTCACTCGCCAAGACACTCACGCCTGCGGAAATGGTATCGTTGACAGCACTGGAAATATCTGTCGAGATCCGTGTTCTTACCAGCTCTGCACCAGAGCATTCAGTGCTCCATGTTGCAAAAATATATCACATTTGCATTCTTAAATGCCTCCAACAGACAGCTGGACCTCCTCTCTCTCTCTCTATCTCTCCCGCCAGTACAGGCCTGGCTGACGAACCTTCGTGAAGAACGTCTGCATGCCGTTCTCGTCCTTCCCTTGGGTCTCCCCCGCCTTCCCCTTCCCCTGTCCATCTGCAGCGCTGTCCTTGATCTCGCCCTTGCTGACGTTGTTGCTGTTGCTGCTGTTCATTTCGCCGTTTTCGTTCATACTCTGCTCCTCGCTCGACTTGACGACACCATCCACAACACCATCTAAAGCACGAGGGGTGGTCCGGCCCATAAACACTATCGGGTGGGCAAGCCCTCTGGCTAGAATCTGTCTCTCAGAGAACAGCCTGGAAGGGAGCAAGCATCGCCGGGAGAGTGAATACAAGGGTATTCGTCAGACGTAACAGTTTAGTCTGGCCAAGACTTGCCGCCGCATCATCTCAGAATGAAGGCTTAAGTGTCAAGGGTCAGATCGGCAGTTCTCAAAAACACCAAGGAATCACGCCCCTGGAGCACCGCGAGTGTAGGTGAAGCTGATTATGAGATCCACACTCGGACGTGGGTCCGCCGGACCATACCGTCGTACCCTCTTGTATTAGAGAAAATCGTCGACAACCTAGTATTTGAAAAAAGGAGGCAATATGTTGAACAGTGAGTACACACCTGCTGAGGGTACATCGCTATATGGAAGCGCAACAACACCCCAACTTCAACAGCTGGCAACAAGGCGATCGGAATCCATTGCCCACCTTTCCACGATGACCCCTAGGTCAAGCGCCAAGAGCTGGTGGTTCCCGACGAATATGATTGGTCGGCTCGTGGACTTGTCTCCATCAGGAACTTTCGACAGTCCGGACACGGTGACGCCGTCCGCGCCGGTGGAGAAGAAAACCGGGCTCACGCTAACAAGAGGGCCAGCGTACAAGCGCAGAATATGAGAGAAGGACGCGACCGAAAGTTCAGGAAGTGGCCTGTGCTCAGTGGCCTGTGAGTTGAGCTCAAAAGCCGCGCGATTCGTTGTCGTCTACAGGTCCATCAAACTAATACTTTCATCTACGTGGCAATGAGTTTCAAAGCCGAAGCCAACGGCGGCAAATTGAACGAAAAACAATCTACCGACGGACACTGGCAGCAGCGCTTCTTCACGTGATCGCTTCTTTCAGCCTGGTTCTCTATTTAGTACGGCAGGCTTGTCCCGGTAACGCACCGGAAACTCAAAGAGCGTGGAAAGGGTTACCAATGAAACTGATGCGTTAGCGTTCTCTTTCCAAATGGTACTGTACATCCATCGAGCCCCTCAAGTTGACGAAGGCTTTGGGCACAGCCGCAAGACACGCTGTATCCAGTGATGGCCCGTTTTTTTCTCGAGAGGAAACAAAGATCTGGCGGCGGCTTAGTTCCACATGCTTTTACGTGCCTACGGACCAGTTACGACTGGGCAGGTTTGGCAACCCAACAGCGAACATACTGCCCATTCAATACCTTTCCGACAAAAGAGCCCAGCGTCAGCAGTCGCGCTTTAGGGTGATTGTTGCCAACATGCAGACGCTGACGTGAAATACCGATGGTGATCGTCGTAGTTATTTTTGCCAGGGGGTCGTTTTGGTTTCTTTTGTTCCCGATGAGGCGAATTTTTCACCTTTTCAAGAGGAAGTCGATCGTCTTTCTCCCCTCTTCAATCACGCTCGCGTCAGGCTCGACGAAGTCGTTCACCCAGTCCTTCGAGTACACCCCGGACAAGAGCGACTTCATGTCCTTGCCTTGTCCTTCTTCATCTCCATTGTGCTGCTGGTACAGTAGAGAAACGACCCGCGACACGTACCAGGAAAGCTCTTGATGTGAAAAGGCGCGGCCGGATACGGGACGATGAAGTAACGGTAGGCGCGCTTGCACTCTTCCACTGAACCGACCAGTGGATAGGGACATTGGAGGCAACCCGACGCCAAGCAAGCGCTCACAACTAGTGGGATGTCAACAGAAAATCAGACGATCAAGCAGCAGCTTGGTGCAACTGCTCGGCACGACCCACCTCAGTGTCACCCTGCGGAAATGCAACGCCTTCCATCGCGGGATCTCCGGCTATGATCTCTGACATGTCCACCCGGCCGTCGAAGAGTGGAGCGTGTCCGTGTCCCTCGAGCACCATGCTCCGGCATCCCGGTATGAGGTTCTTCAGACGCTCGGCCTCGTTCACTGAGGGCAGGAGCCTATCCGCGGACCCCGCTACAATGACCACCGGCACCTGCGTTCGCCGAAACCAGACACCAATCAACCCGAGTGGAGATATGGAGATAGTGAGGGGGCTTGCTCGGAAAATGCGGTGCCAGATTTAGACGATCACATGTTGCTTGACGCAGAACTTTCAAAGATAATGACGTGAGTGCACGTGTGGTTTCGCATAAAGTGAACTGGGAATGTGGAAAATACGTACTACCATTATTTGCGCCTGCGCCTTGTGAAACGCAAAAACGTGAGCCACGCGCTGGAGCTGGGAGTGAAAATCTTGGCGAGTGTTAATGTTCACCAAAATCAACAAGAGTTGGTTGAAAGTAGAAACATGTAACAACAGTGAATCGACCACCCTCAATTGTTTCTCTTTGTCGTAGGCAACGCCTGAAAAGCTCTTCGAACCCTTCTGTCGTCACCACCGCTTTTGTGTCGAAATCAAACAAATATCGTCTTGTGATGTGTGAATGATTGAACGTTGAAAGTCCACTGCAATATAACAGGTCGGACCGACGTAACTAAAGCAATTTCACCTTCATGTCTGCAAGCCCCCTTTCGACACGACCCTGCCCCGCAGCCAGCCAGTTCTGGATCCTCCATCTCAAAGTCGCCGGGGGAAGGTTCTCGGAAACTTCTGAGATCATTTCCCACAGCCCCCCAAGCCTGTCCGCCAGGGCCTTGGGTCTGTCTGTGACCTTAATTCCGTTGTTGGGGTCGATCATGACGTCTACCACGCTCATCATCTGGTCAGAAAAAAAAACGAACAGGCGACAAACATGTAGCGTACTGCAACTGGGATTATTATATTAAATACGCCTGTCGCCCTGAAGCTGCTGTACATCCACGATACAAGCACGTCTGAAGATTCCCCTGCCGCCACGCGGAACCTAGCTTCACTGCTCTCAACATTGGCGAACGTCACACAAGTTGTTTAATCATCGGAGGGAGGCTGTGGTCAGGGCATGGAACAAAGAATATATATATATTGCCCAAACCACACTGTGCCCTGAATTTGACCCCGTCGTCAAAAGAAGTCTCTACACGGCGGTAGTCGGCAAAAACCGAGTTTTGATATCGTACGAAACATGAACGGGAGACCAAAGCGACATTCAGAAAACCATCTTGCACGACATCCAGCATGCGGCTAAGCAAACAACGGAAAGGAAAAACACGTTGAACGCAGCAACCGGTAATCACCAACAGGCGGACAAAAACGGCAACCGGGTTCACAGCGTTGGTACCTGGGACACATCCGGGATGGTTGCAGCGAACACCGCCACCGACGCGGCCTTGTACTGGCTCTTGGGGGCGAGGGACAGGAGAGGACCCAGAGACCTCCACGCTGTGCGGCCGAAGCTCGTGGCGGGGTTTACGGCGAAGACCGCTTGTACACGCCCCGGTCTGCCGCCAAAAGTTTGACATTCGGATGGTTGGAGTTCGTTGTGGTGAAAGTTGGGGAAACGGGGAGCCATGCTTCTTCAAAGGGGACGTGGGCGGAAAGGCAAAGACAACAAAACAACGCCCGAGCAGTTCATTTGACATATCAACGGCCGTGGTCTCCTGCCATGGACGTTGAGACAATACTTTCGCTCATCCTCTGTGGGTGAGTGTAGACGGCAGATGGACGAAACTCGACGACGGATGGGGGGCGAACGAACCCTTGAACTCGACCGCTTACCCGCGAGAAATAACGTTGCTGGGCCATCACTTACATTATCTAGTGTGGGTACAGTGTACCCGACATACTCTAGAACACATCAATCAATCATAGCAACCGAAAGATGCGTCGTTGTCGAAGCAGAAAAAAATACATCGACGACTGGGAAGGTGTCACTACGTTGTGGTTGCGACTTTTGTTGACATCTCACGGATGGAACACCGAAAAAACGAAGCACCACGGCATGCAACTGGGGCAGTCTGTCTCTCTTCACCTGAGCTGCCCAAGTCGAATGCCTAGCATAGCTCCGAAGCTCTCCCCAAGAACCACCGTCTTCTTCTGGTTCCCACCACCCTCTCCGCTAGTAACATCAACAAACTGAGTCACCTGGAAAAGACGAACGACGAACGAACCGAGCACGTGATAAAATAAGGCCGTTGCTGGCCGCGTACACGCCTCAGGAAACGATACGTTACGGCGGAAGTGTGTGTGTTCATACGTGCGCTAACGAGAGTTTCCTAGAGAACCGTCAACGTTCGTTTTCGGCTGGGCTTAATGACAATGAGACGCCACTTTCGAATAAGTGACGAAGTAGGCTGCACAATATATTCAAAATTTGCCGCACCTCAACCATAGCGTACGTGGCGATACTAACCCATTGGCAGAAATTACTTTTACAAGACAGACCGAACCAAAACCAAAAAAGTTCTTGAAACAAGAGCAGAGTTGCCTGTACATGCTTAGCACTACAACAACCAGCAAACGTGTGTATGCGGCAGGCGGGGAAGAAAGTCGCATGTTCAGTGCGTCTTACTATCCACTTCCTCAAAATCTGCTCCAAACAAACATTTCGTGCTCGCTGAGAAGACGACGAACAGGCTCACCGCTCTGGACAACGTTGAGAAGGTGGACCTATCCTCCGCCCCGATGATGAGCCTGAACACATCGAACTTCTCGGAGAGAGCAGGTAGCTGGGGCTCGACCGAAGTACCAAGCCCCTCGATCCCGGGCAAATACAACAGCACCATCTTATCGCCGTCAACCTTCGAGCCGTTCGCAGCTCCCCCGGTAGCGGAGGGTGACGCCGGTCCATTGGCGTCGTTTTTCCTCCAGCGCTCAAAGCTAACCCCTAGGATGTCGATCACGTCCGGGAGGTCTTCGGGTCACGGCAAAATCGCGGGTAGTGGGGGGGGGGGGGGGGGGGGGGGGGATCCCCTAAAATTTCCCACCCCACCCCCCCCCTATTCTAATCCCCCCCAAAAAACCAAATTTTTTTTTTTTTTAAAAAACCCCCTTCCCCCAAACCCCCCCCCCCCCCCAAATCCCCAAGAAAAAAAAAAAATTTCTCCACCC